ATCCGAATTGAGAGGTGGTACTGCAAGTTATCTACCTAGTGGTTTCACTGTGCAAGGTAGAGATGACGAGCGTACCCTCCGAATTGAGCGCGCGAAAGTGAAAAGTGGTTCCACCGATGGATATGGTGGAACAGAAACCCCTGGTTAACCAGTTTGCTAACATGGGCTCCTTCGCTGGCAGTGGAAATGAAATCACATCTCTTGCTTCGTCTGATGATGTGACCTTCTACTTTGGTTCAGATCAGGGGAGTAATTCATTTGATTATTCAAAACTTGGGTGGGGTGAACGGGGCCCAAAGACTCCTGAGATCTCATCCATGCTTTCTGCTCCTTTGGAAGGAGAATCTCATTTTGTGCAAGATGACAACCAGCAGAAAAACCTGTAGTCGAACTCTCAAGATGTGATATCTGTGCCAGATAATTCTGCTAAGACACTGTCTGAGGAGCTTGCTGATATTGAATCCGAGTTGAATTTCTTTCAGATGCCTTATCTTGAAGGGAACTGGGACGATACTTCATTGGAATCATTGCTATCACTATCAGGAGACATAATTCAGGATGGCGGAAACCTGATGAACCTTTGAAGACATTCCTTCCATGGCTGGAGGAGTATTCTGAGCAAAAGTTAAAACATGGTTATTTTCGTAATAGTAACTTTTTTTACCATCTATATTTTACTTACCGTCAAACATAGACTTTATAAATGTTACCTAATTTCTCCGGTAAATTTTTTTCAACCAAACAACTTTTTTTTATATTTTTCTACCAAATTCACTTCCCAACCATTTCTCTGTCAATGACATTTCCCTATTTTTCATAAAATTTGTCCTCAACCAAACACCCTAGTGTTTCACAAATACAAAACACTGATTGATTAGTAGCTGATTTAGTTCAGAGGTTATTATTGACAAAAATGTCAGAAACCATATCTTGCTGAATTTTTTTTGGATTTTATAAGAGTTATGTTGTAGAAAAAGTGATTATGTAATGTTATAGAGATTCGTTTTGCGTGCCTTAATTTTTATTTTTACTTTTTGCTTTAAAAAGTGCTGGCTCACAAATTATAGATGCAAATCCCATTAATTTTACCATAAATTAAGAAATATATAACTGTTGAAGATTTTTCCCGACAAAGAAACATTTTATAACAACTCGTGATGTTATTGTCAAAGCACATTTGAATAGGATCCAACTAATAGCATCCATTGAAATATTTTTGGTTTAATTTTTATTAGTAGTAATTTATTAGTTCATCATATATGATTAGGATTATATTTATCTCATTTTACATGATATAAATAATTTTCTTACACACACAAAAGAGGGGTGAGACTCACCACTCTTTTCTCTCTCTCCTCTTACCTGTGAATTCCACTTGTAATTTTATTTCTATAACATGAGATAATTACTTTCCTACAATATAAGAAAAGTATTTTCATATGATTATCACTATAATATTTTTATTGAAGCTACACATGTCCTGAAATTAAAATATATTGCATTGACGCTTTCAAATGAGAGGCTTACGTATGGTCTTTTTAATGATTTATATTATTATCTAACATATTTCTTCGTGCAAGAGACGTTTAAGCTTAAAACGTAAATATTGCATATGCTTAATTTTTTTTTTTACTTTGTACTTATTTAATTTCACTTGAAAGTGGTGGACAATAAAGATTGAACTCATGATCTTATGGTCAAAGAAGCTCTAGTACCATGTAAAGAATTATTTCAACCTAAAACCTTAAGGTATTAGATGCATAGATCCTTCCATTTATATGGAGCTCACTTAGTCCATTCATAACCAACGTAAAACTTCACCCACTCACCCTTGGATTAGTCTTGGTATTAGGTTAACATTATATGAAGCATTAGTCTTGGTTCTTGCTGTAGGGCTCTGTGTAAATAATGGTTAATGAATAAAAAAGAAGACGTTGTTTTAAGCTCCGATTATGAGGATTTATTTAAAAAAACAGATATAACTATAAATTTTACATTTCATATTGAAAAAATTTCAGATGTGTGAAAATTTCAAATGTTAACAAGAGTTTGTTCAACCGGTAGAATAAAACAGTTTCGATAAGTCATTTGCAAATATTATTATAAACTCTCCATCAGACCTATATCACACATTGACTTAGAAAAAATGCAATTTCCTCTCCTGCTAATTTTTTAAATATCAAAACATGATATAAATACAACAATAAGATTACAGAGCTGTATCTTATAAGCACAAGTTGCAAGGATATCTTTTAATTTATAATCCATAAGATACTTATAATATGTTTGGATGGACAAATAGAATTATTAACAAGGAAATGGAGTCTGTAAAAACGACTCAACTCATTATTTAGTAGGTTTATACACAAATGTAGTGGACTGGTCAAGAAGAAAAACCCAAACCACTCCCTTCAATCCAAACCTTCAAATTTTCACATCTCAGTTTTGGGTTTTAGAATGAAGCATTTATCTATTTTTTTTTAAATAAATTCTTATTTGTATTTTTAATTGTCTTATCTCTTCTCAAGTGTGTGTGGAAAAGTTATGTTACATCATGTAACATAACATTTGATTTGCCCCTTTTTTATTCTAATGTTTTTCTCAAAGTATTCTTTTACTTTTCTTGCCCTGTACAAGAGCAGAATTAATTTGTTGCAATTAGATATTCTTTTCATTACTTTATTTGTAGAACTGAATGAACAATTTTACAACTGCTCGGTGAAAGACAATATCACTTGCATAAATAATAGTGTTGTTAAATGGTTTATTACAAGAAATAAGTGTTTTTGTAATATTATGATTATTATTATTATTATAATAATAATTATGATGGTAATAATGATAATGACGAAAGTTAATATTTAAAGTTAAATAATATTTTTATAAAAGGAATATTACATGTAAATTGTGGGATCATAAAAAATTAATAAACACAATTCAAAAATCAAGAGTCGTTGGATTAAAACTGCATGTTGTGTAAATATTTTTCTAACTGCATACATCCAAAGTTGTGAGTCACAGCCATAACTTGTATATGTAATACTGCTTTATCCTAAAAAAATTTACCCATACATTTTAACATAAAAAACTCGAGTTAAATGAATATATATCTTTTCATTTGATCTTCAAAAAATATAAGTGTCATCGAATTAATTATATATATATATTAAGTATATTAAGTTGGTCATTTAATATTAAATTATGCCATAAAATCAAATTCAACCAATCATTTAAAAAAATTAAATCACTAGTTTGATGTCACCCGTAGATAAATGATTAATATATATAAGATCAAAATAGACTTCTTCTTTTTTGGTAAAAATCAAAATAGACTTTTTGTTTTATATAAGAAAAGATAACAATTGTTACAAATAATAGATAATATTATAAAATTTAAAAATACTAAAGATATAATTAGTTTGCCTCATTTTAAAAAAAAATTAGTTAATTTTGTGTGTGCAAATTTAACAATTAAATTATCAATCTATATAGAAATTTAAATTTAAAAAATATAAGACAACAATAAATTAATTTAACATTTGTTACAAATTTCATTTTATATTTATTAACATTTTAAAAACTAATGAAATTACTGAAATCACAAAAAATTTAAAATTTAAAAACAAATTATGTATTGTTATAACTTTAGTTTAATTATTATTTTTATTTTAAAGATATTTGACTTGAACTTAACAAAAAAAATTAATATGACATTCTTTTCAATTTGAATAAATTCTGTCATGATTTGATCAAGGTGTATATAACATAATAATGTTTCCAAAAATAGTTTTCTCTATTTTTATTTTTTTTAAAATAAATAATTAAAAATTAGATTTGATATAAACGGTTTATTTTTTCGTTTCAGGAAATGAACCAATAGAGCATAAGCATAAAATAAAATAAATTTTTTTAGCTTCTTTCTTTCCGAATATAGAAATAGAAAAAAAATGATTTATTTTCAAAAGTAAATCCAAAGAGAAAATTATTTTCATGGACACCCTTAATAATTATGTTTGGATTAGTTCAATTTGGTATTTAAATAAAACATATAAATTTAAAATTATGTATATATAATTCTTGAAATTTTAAAAGCAAGAAACTAAAATTATAGAATTTTTTTCTTGTACAAAAAGTTAATATAGAAGTATTATTTGCAAAAGATACTAATTTATGTCAAAAAGTTTTATAATTTGTTATTATTCAAAAAAATCAATTTATTAAATACCCACCGTATCTGTTAGGTTAGACTTCAAGTGACACACAACTTACACAAGTAAACAAATACATTACTACAAAAAAATAATAAAATAAAAAGGGATAGATATTGTGACACACAAATAATGTTACGATCACATCTTAATAGTTGATTTCTGCCAATCAACGGTTATCATTTATTGCGAATTAATAATTAATTAATGAGCTTGATTTGAAAAATGACAACCGTTGATTGACGGAAATCAACGGTTAAGATGTGATCGTAACATTGTGCGTAACATTATTTGTGTATCACAATATCTTATCCCAAATAAAAAATAAACAAATACACATTAGAGACTTAAGGGTGTGTTAGGTAGAGGAGAATTTATTTATTTTTTCGGAAATCTCAGTTTTCAGAAATATGATGAAAATAATCAGTTTACAATAATATTCAAAAATTAAAAATTTAAAAAAATTTAATTTTCTAATAATACTACAAAATATCTTGTACCAAACCTCCGTACGAGTGTTATAGTGCAAAAAATAAAATTTGGAGAGCCATTTCAATAGGGGAAATGATACTCTCATGTTACATGAGATTACACCATTTTGCTACACAAATTCGTTTTCCGTGTCAATTAATTTTTCTTTTATTTTTTAATATAAAATATGGGACCCACATTTAACTTCTCTCTACTTTTTTTCTCTCCTACAATCCTACAACATAAGAAAAGTTAAACCCTTTCAATAGATAGTAATTAGTATTCGAATTAGATTAATACGATAATCGACGGTTAAAAACAAACACACATGTTTTGGAGTTCCTCCTGTTGAGAGCGACAAAACCCTAAATTTTGGCTCTCCTCAAACCCTAAATTTTGCAGCAATGGGCAAGACAAGTACAAGGTCAATGTCTTCCCTCTTCCTTTACAGTTCCGAAAAGTAAAAGTTACTTCTGACCTGATTGCTGTTTCTTTCTCATTTGTGCAGGTCTGATTCAAAGTCCAACAACAAGTTCGAAAAGAAGCTTCAATTTTATTCCAGTCAGTCTTAGGATCAGTTTTCCTTGTCTTCAATTAGAAAATTATATTTTCGAGTTTTTGCTTTTCGTAATGACTTGGTGCATTCCCTAGTTTTTAACACAAAACAAAACATTTGAATCTATTGGGAAAAAAATATATATAATAAAATTGCTTACGTGCTAGTTTTTTTGTTATGACTTATATGGAGTTTTACCATTGTTGGTGGCTTGGTCGATGTTACCTGTCAAACTTGTCTAGATTTTAACTCCTTTCAATCCCTGATGTTATTGCAGAGGTGAAAGATGCCGTGGCTTCCTTGAGTGCCCAAAAGTCTATTACTAAGGTGAGAATCTTTTTTCAACAGTATTATTGCTCTTAAGATAGATTGATTGAACTATGGAAGAGCTTCAGTAGGTTTATAATAGGTTGAATTTAATTACTAATTAACTTTATTATGCTTGATGTTACAAATCATTTGTTGATAATTGGTTTAAACTATACGGACATGTTGAAGACTTCTCAGGTGCTTTCTTGTTCGTCATGTAGTTTGATAAGTGCGATGATGAATTAAAAGTTATTTCACATTGTGAAGTGTTGTTGTCCTCATTTAAATTTTACCTTCTCTTTTTTGAATAAGAAAAATTTGCAGAAAGTAATTCACCAAGAATAACGGAGAGAGATATTCAACAGTGGTTTAGTTATTTGTTGCATTATTATCCTTCTTTTTTTCATCAAATAAGTAAGGGACAAGTTGAGTGAATCAGGAGATATTTGGAAAGAAATGATACATTTTATGTAGTCATTTGGTGGCGGACTTAGGAGAATTTTTAAAGAGATGGGAGAGTTAAGAGTGCTACAGAAAGTAACTGGAGGCAGAAGTGGGGAGGACATATTAAGTAGCTTAGTTTTGAACATCTTTGCTCTGGTATCTATGTGATATGATGATACGACACCAGTCCTTAAAGAGTATTGTAGGAAGCATAGCATATTCTCATATCTCAATGCTGACTCAGCAAGCTAGTTAGTTAGTAGAGAATATTCTAGAAGTGGGTATGGATTATAAATAGAGAGGTATGTGAAGGGTGAGGGGGATCTGGAAATTGGAAGCATCTTGGGCCCTTTTGGGATTGGGAGAGAGTGGAACCTCTCATATGTGTTCCACAACTATCTTTACTATTTTGCATTGTTAATTTCTATTGGAATTCTGTATTGTCTTTCATGTTAAACAAATTCTGTTCTGTATGTAATGTTTGCTGAGAATTATATGAATGAGGAAGATTCAGTATTATTTCTTTGAGTAAATCCTGTTCTTAGTTTGAATTCTGGTTGGTCCTTAACAATTCAGTATTATAATGTGGGCATGGTGGCAACAAGAAGCATGGAAACCAGAATGAAGGTTGTGGAAGACGGGCTGCGCAGGAAAGATGATTGTCAGGACGAGGTGATTCGAAGGCTGAACGCTAACGCTGCTCGACACGAAGAAGTCTTATTACGGATGGACGCTAACGAAAGGGGAATCGCAGAAATCATCCGGAGGTTGGACGAGATGGAGGGGAGAAGGAAGAGACGTTCTCGTAGAGAAGAAGAAGATCTGGATGACAACATCTCAGATTCGTACAGAGCTCTGTGCTCGCTCAAACAATGGGGGAGTCTTTCTGAATTTCGAGCAGAATTCAAACAAATGGTGGAAGCTCTTCGTGTCGAGGATGAAGACCAACTCAAGCAAGCATGGTTGAACGGAGTGCGCAACAATATCCGGGAGGAACTTCTGATGTACCCAAATCTCAGTCTGAGGGAGATGATGAAATTGTCGCTCAAAATTGAACGGAGAAACGTTGCGTGGAAGGAGGAGGGATGGGGACCAATGACTAAAGCTTGGGCCCAGGGTTCCCAACTATCTTTTGGCTCACAAACTTTTTCAGGCCCAAATGAGACAAAGGGATGGAGTAATACCACAGTGGGCCAAACAAGTGTACATGGCCCAATTCGCAACTCAGCCTTGAACATGGGTAGCCCTAATAATGGTCAGGGCACAACGAAGGGTGGAACGAACGAAAATATCAGGGATGGGGCTGCGACGAAACTTTCTGGGTCAACGACCGGCAAACGCTCGTCGGAAAGCCACGTGACCCAGGGACAACGGCTGTCTCAAGCTGAGCTCCGTCATCGACAGCCATGTGGGCTGTGCTTCAAGTCTGATGAGTGCTGGAAGCCCGACCACAGATACCAGGTCCGTCGACTGCATCCTTTGTTGGTGGACATGGACGACGTGGAAGAAAGAGAGGGGAAGATCGAAGAAGAAGGGGTGGTTTCGGTGTCACGACTGACGGAGAATCAGGCCAGCGACGGCCATCAACGACGGGAAGTTGACTCCTTGCTATTTACTCGGGATAGAAGTGTTTGCATTAATCTTGCTACTGCTGATATTGTCATTCCTTATGATAGTGGCTGGAACCCAAAAGCTAACTTGCAAGTGCAGGACCGTGCTTATAGGATTTGTCAAAAGAAAAAAGCTCAAGTTGTCCGAGTTGGCAATAAGTATACGTTTGAGGAAAAATTCATAAAGCAAGAGACGTCATTGATAAATGACAAAGGCGTGGGAGTGGCTACGACTCCACAACCACCAGTGTTAGTGGTAGACCCACCCTTGCCTAAGCCGCCGGACTTGGTCCTTGATAACGAGGCAAAGGAGTTTTTGGAGAGCAGAGAAAAACAAAGTCAGTGGCCACAACGATGGCGTAATCAACAGGAAGTGGCTAGGTTAGGGAGTGGATTGGTGGTATTGGGCCATTTAATTTACCTAAAGGGTCAGGCCCAAGTTATTAATTATTTCCAAATCCAGCCTAGCAGTGTCACTATTTCATACAAAAATTGGGCTTGTGAGCCTGATACGGACCCAATTCAGAAGGTATATACACGTCAGAGGCATAAGGCCCAAGTTGTTAGCCATGCTGAGTCAGCAATTAGTTGAAGGAGTCAGTTACGGAGGGACAACAGAATGCAGTTGGGGATTGGGTGCGGAAGGCACTGCATAAGAGGAGATAATGAGGTGGGGGAAAGGCATCTGGAATCTTTGGAATTGCTTGGGCCCTTTTATTGATACGGACCCAATTCAGAAGGTATATACACGTCAGAGGCATAAGGCCCAAGTTGTTAGCCATGCTGAGTCAGCAATTAGTTGAAGGAGTCAGTTACGGAGGGACAACAGAATGCAGTTGGGGATTGGGTGCGAAAGGCACTGCATAAGAGGAGATAATGAGGTGGGGGAAAGGCATCTGGAATCTTTGGAATTGCTTGGGCCCTTTTGGGATTGGGAGAGAGTGGAACCTCTCATATGTGTTCCACACTATCTTACTTTTCTTGCATTGTGAATTCTTTTCTGTCATTGTAATTTCCTAATTTCTACAAGAGTGGTTGTTACTAGTCTCTGTTTGTAATAGTTGTTATTTCATTATATATAAAAGTATAAGATTCAGATCCAAAAGTCTGCATTATTTCCTTTCATTCTGTGGATTATTGGTTGGTCTGTATCAGAGCCCAAAATCATGCTTGGACCCAATTGTCCCCAAACATTTGGGTGCTGTCCAGCAAGCCAAGAAAGGCGAGAATTCACGATGGAGGAGAGCAGAATTTACGTTTCAAGGTTGAAGCTCCAATTTGATGATTTTCAAGCAAGACCAAATTCATTTGAAGTGTACCCAGGTCCTGTTTGTTATTTGGAAGTGAGTATTAGTTCTAGCAAAGAAGCATTTATTTTTTATTTTGGCAAGGACTTCAATATTGCAGAAGGATTTATATATTCAAGGAGGGTTGAGACAGATGTCCTAATAGCTGTAGTTGGATGTGGGGAAGATATTTGGGCAAATGATGAAAAGAAACTTGCACAAATTCAAACAGATTTAAAAAAAGATGGAACTACTGCAGATGAGCAATGGGATCCTGGTAGAGGTTATATTGCCTCATGCATTAGTTGGCCATTATATTTCAAGCAATGGGACCCCGGAAAACGATCATCACCTTGAGGACAAGGTGATTGTTAGGGGGGGAGTATTGATACGACACCAGTCCTTAAAGAGTATTGTAGGAAGCATAGCATATTCTCATATCTCAATGCTGACTCAGCAAGCTAGTTAGTTAGTAGAGAATATTCTAGAAGTGGGTATGGATTATAAATAGAGAGGTATGTGAAGGGTGAGGGGGATCTGGAAATTGGAAGCATCTTGGGCCCTTTTGGGATTGGGAGAGAGTGGAACCTCTCATGTGTTCCACAACTATCTTTACTATTTTGCATTGTTAATTTCTATTGGAATTCTGTATTGTCTTTCATGTTAAACAAATTCTGTTCTGTATGTAATGTTTGCTGAGAATTATATGAATGAGGAAGATTCAGTATTATTTCTTTGAGTAAATCCTGTTCTTAGTTTGAATTCTGGTTGGTCCTTAACATATGAACACCTGAAAGTGTAGGTGGGTTAAGAAGTGAGAGTAAAAATAAGGTCTCTGTATATGCATTGTGTCTATTTGGGCAGTGCTTGCTTGGAATTTGCTGATATAACTTTAATGATTGTGAAATGCGTTTATAGGAAAATAATTATCTTTCAAGTGTTTATCTGCTGAAATTATAGAAGCAGGTTGAAGGATTTTTATCTGAAATGTTTACAGTAAACTGGTCCCGGTAACTTAGCAACATGTATCTACTAGACCACCAAGATACAACCCTAATTGAAATACTCAGTCTTGTTCTAATTTTCAAGGACTAGAATCAGATATCATTGTATCTTAATTGTTTGTTGCTTTATGATCTGACAGAGTTATACCCATACTATTGAAAATTCCTTGCAGTTTTCCTCATTGAAATGTTTGATACAGAAACGGTAACAGCTCTATGCACAAAACCTTTGGAATTTTCAAATTGAGCATTTGATATAACTGGTTATGAAAGTCATCATGTTAACTTCGTTCTCTAACATTACTAATTGTGGAAAGTAATGGCAACGGAAGCATAATCATCCTGTTGTGTTTGTAGCAGATGTAGATTCATTAATATATGCTTTGAATGGATTGATGCAGGGCTTAATTAATTAATTCTTCCGTTTTCTACTCTGTTTCTGAATGTCACAGCAGTTATACTTATACTAATACTTGTCTATCGGTATTCTATTCCTTCGCACAAACCATGAGTAACATATTACTAATTTTGAAGAGATTTTTAGTTTATAGCCTGCTAATGTTCTGTCTCTCTCTCTCTCTGTATGTCTCTCTTGTTGGGTGACAAAAAGCATAAGATTTTTTTTGTGGTAATTATAGCTTTTAATGAAAAGGGTGAGCATGGAATAATGATAAAATTGTTCCTTTGTGACAAAAAGCAGCTTTGCAAATATACAAGGGTAAGGCTATATACAAGGATTGCCCTCACCCCTACCCTCAACAACTTCAGATGGGGACAGGGCATTCTGTCACATTGAATGTACATGCCTGCTCTGATAGTCATTTTGGGTAATCTAGTGAATTTTTTGCTGACAGAAATATTGTAAGGAGAATTCATAGTTACATTTTGAAAAGTATGTATGTGCTTCAACAGTAATGTAGCAAACCTGTAATGTTATCTTGGACTGAAGCATTATTTTTATATATTTACAAGTTATCTTAAATATTTTGTACACAAATTTTTATTTAGGATGCCCTGATGATATGATTGCTGCTTGTTGTACTGACTGAATCAAGATTTTTTAGAGATATATGCCACTCAACTTTATAAGTAAAACTTGAGTGTTCTTGGTTTTCTGAAGGCTGAAGATGTTTTGTCTTCTGTCAGAAGAAGAACAAACAACAAAGGCGTCAGAACAAATTGAAAGCATATAACCTCTCTTCACTCTTAGAATCCCTTCCTGAGTTTAAGGAGTCACGAAAACCAGGTCGTGAGGATGACTTCAAGCTTAATTGTAAATCTAGGAAGAAGTTAATGTGAGTGCTTTCCATCGTATTTCAATATTATATTACCAACTTTACATTTGATATGTAACATTGTATTTTTAACCTTTTGTCCATCTTCATCAGATTGAATGAAGGAGAACGGTTGTCTGCTATTCTTAAGGATCATCACTTCCAAGCAGATCCCCTTTCTGCCATTCATCAACACTTACAGAACACACAACCGGTTGTAAAGGAACAACCCAAGAAAAAAGTGAACAAAAATGGATCCAAGAAGAAGAAATCAGAGGCTTCAACCAGACTACAGTCTATGTCTATGGATATTTAATGTCCGTGCAGCTGCTATAATGTTCTGCTTTTTTCAAGGTCTTTCCATAATTCCATTACTCTTGGAAAACATTAGATTACTCTAATTGTAAATTAAAATATCTTGAATTTCTAAACTAGTGTCAATGGTTATGTCTATGGTAGTTGATCACTAATTGTGATATTAGTATCCATTGAACAGGCGTGACTGACTTTGTGCTGAGCATAGCAATTCCATATAGTAACATATGAAACCACCTCATATATAACCAATTTCTGGTTAACGTTTCAGGGTTCTTAAATAAATAAATAAAAGAAAAGAAAGTTCCTGAAAGATAGAATTGCGTGACTAAGGATTAACTTCAATCGTGGTATCTGTGGCTTTAAATTCTTTTTTTGCCACTACTCTCATATATTGATGTTTTTTACATAAGGTTTAGAAAGTATTTCTTTTTCTAGTACAAGAAAATGACCAAGTTTAAATTGGGAAGAATCTGTGAGGGGAAGTCATTCGTGTTGTGTATAGTTGTGGGTAATATTTGTTAAGGAATTTGGGCAGATCCATATGTCGTGCTTTGTGGTTGGAAATGAATCAAATGATATTCAGTAGCCAATCAAGACCTTGATAGAGAGTCCTTGGCCTGATATGGCAAAAATGCACTGAATGTAGCTTGAGGGACGAATTCGCTAGAAATAAATGTTTTGGGGGGAGAAAATAGGAATGGATATATGGAAATACAGTAAAGCTAACCCTTACCAGCTACGATGACTCAGTGAATCTGAGCCAAGTTTATAGGCAACTTCAGTAACATTCATGGCATTTGGGAGGTCCTGCTTATTTGCAAAGACAAGAACTATAGCTTAGTTCAAACTGCAAAAGTACACGAAGCAAATCAACTCTTGGTCATAATAAGGTAGTGTTCAAGTATTAGTTCCATTTAGAACGTAATAAGGACATCAAGAGAGTGATTGAATGTAGTATAATGGGTCATTTGAGTGGATCTCATTGTCAATAGGAACAGATTATATGGTATATACTATTACATACTAGAATCGCTTAGAATATAATGGAGTTCATTCCGAGCATCTAAGATTCTGTCTGTCATTGCTGTCCATCACAAAGACAAGTCCATTGGTGTTGTGAAAGTAATGTATCCACAGAGGCCGAATCTGCATTCAGCTACTTAGTATACAGCGGATTGCTAAGCTAATGTTTATACAGCGGTCTTGAAATAATAATTAGTTTTGTTTTTTGACCTTTTCTGCTCAGGAATCTATTGGTAATTTGGTATGGTAAGACAAAAGATGTCATTACCTTTTCTGATCGTTCACAAATGTCATGACAATCTAAAATTAATACTGTTATCTTTCCCACTCCCACCATCTTTTTTTGTACTTCAAATCTTCATATTTGATCAAAAACCAATAAAACGTTAAGCTACAAAACAACATGAATAGTTCAATTAGACTATCTTAAGATTTTTGTAGCAACAGAATGGAGATGATTCTCGTGTTCAAAAAAGAAAAAGAAAAAAAGAATGGAGATGATTTATGGTCCTGATTTAGGCAAGTGGCAATTGCCACGAATAAGTGACTATTAAATAGAAGTATTTCAACGAGAAACTCAGAAGCCATTAGATTCATCAGCAAGGTGGAAACGTGTTGTGGTGGATACCAATAGTTGGTATGGTCCTGAGTCCTGACCGTTTCCCCCACTTTTAGCTTGTATAGAATGGTTGTCTTCCCTGACGAATCAAGACCTCACCATTGGAATCCTCCATTCATGCTTCTGTAAGAAGCTCTTTGCCACTTGACATATGATCTTACCCATGCAAACTTGAGCTGAAGAAAGGGAATTTTAGGTAGAATTAATGCCGTGCTATAGGGTGAGAAAGTTCCAATTGGGTGGTTTGTCACCCTCGCACTATGAAGGCCCCAAAGGAAGAGTGTTTCTTGCATGTTGAGTAGACATGAAGACAAATTCAGAGAGACATGATAATGTATTCTGATTAGAGTATAGGATTAAAAACAGAATCATGTCTTCACCTTCCAAAAGCTGTTGAATGTTTTCAACAAACGATGAAGTTTAAAGTACTACTAAATGAGTCTCTCACTAAGAGGCCCTAAACCGAAGTAAAGAAATGTCAAATTGTGCTTGAAGCTAATCTAATTATATCATAATAGCTCTGTATAGTTAAACCCTCATTTTTTGGTTTGGAGCCCAAAAACACACACACACCCAGCGTGCAGGATTATTAATTGGATATACTATCAGAGATTTATTCTCTTGTGCAGAAGTATATTCTTCTGTATCACTTTTAGTTGAGTTATGCATTATTCTCATTGCGATTCACGAGTTCAAGTGAAATTCTTTTTAATTCACAACTAACTAATGCAACGGGGAGAACAAAGATTGGCTTGGATAAAGGCAACAGGGAAAGGTGAGGCATTACATAATTCTTCCTTGATGCCAATTCTTTTCACCAAAACAAATATTACAACCAAAAATGATGAGATTTTATCTTGAGACATGAAACCTCGGAATTACAGAATTTACAATAAATACTGGTCAGTTCTTAGATGCCGACTGGAAGATAAAAACTGCAGTCAAGACACCCACCAAGGCCGTTACTGCGAGGGCAACTGTAGGCAGTGGAGTTGTGACTCCAAAGTTCTGCAAAATCAAAGTACAGGAATATTGTTATTGTTTTGTATCAGATTCTGCTAATAATACTAGAATGGATTAGAGGAAACGTAGAGATAGGAGTAAGGAGTAACAGATCCGTAAAGCTTATTGTTAACAGGGGTTTCACTAAGTTGCATTCCCTTGGAAGTTTTAAACTTGAAATGGTTCTACTTATTTTAGATGCATCAGAAAGTTACATGAACCTATATGCTTGATTATTAAAAAGAAAAAAAAAAAAGGAAAAAAAGCTTGATTTTACCACTAGATGTCACAAACACAATAAAGTATAGGAGAGAGAAAGATTAACATACTACAGTTAAAATATCAAAGTAAACTTTTGACAAGTGAGGGATTATAAAAGGGAGGCAAAAGGCAATTAATCATTTGAAGGAAATTATAACTTGCGTCCTGGTTTAAAGACGGAGACAAATGCTTGCAGTCTTAATCATGCCTGAAGTAACTCACTAATTACTGCACAGTGTATACTGTATCATACCTCTAGGAGCCCCTTTCCAGTAGAAATTTCAGCAGTGATGGCTACGGCAAAGCCAATCATGGCTAGCCGGCCTAGCCATACATCCAAACTGTTCCCTTCCTTGGTACTTTGTTCACATCTTATTGAAACAGGCATTGCTCTGCATGCGGTTTTCCTTGCATGATTTCTTCCTATCACTAGAGACAAGTTAAACAATACTTAGCTGGCTAACTGGGATTTTATTTCAACATTATTTTAGTTCCACCAAACCCAATCAAGGAAAAAGCATCATAAACGTCATAAACTCATGGATAAAACTACAAATCCCAACTATAAATAATTAAAATAATTGCTTTTCAGGATTATTTCCAAGAACTGACCAGAATATAACGGTGAAACAAAAAAGAAAAAGAAGAGATAATCCAAACAAAGAATGAAGCGATATTGTAAGTTTAAAAGGAAAAAAAAAATTCAGTAGCTATATTTTCAGATAGCATTTATATTACTGCTACCGCTTTTTATAGTTGCTTCAAATTAGCTAACAGGCTTAACTTGTACAGTCTATCTAAAGTAAGAAGCTTTAAGTCACAAGATAGAAAGCATTTTTTGAGGCAAGGTATTGAATGTGCGACTTGTATCTATTCTAGCTAAAATTAAGTCTAGGATCCAAGAGAAATAGAATTAATTCAACCTAAAAATTTAAATTGTTAAATGAAGGAATATCAATGATTTATATACTTCTCTAAAACGCTCCTTAAAGATGAATAATGCACGTTAAGGCCCTAATACCCTATAAAAAATCAATTCAACCCAAAAATTTAAGTTCTAGTTTATATATACTTCTTTAACAGTACTAAAAACTAACAAAGGAAAATCCTCATTCTGCAAAATTTATGAACATGTTTTCATTCTATTTGAAGCCCACATAATATGAAATTAGTAGAATATTGTCTGCACAGAGTTCCAGTTCACGAGTTCCACTTCATTTCGATTTCCAACTAATCGATGCAAAAAGTTTTCTTTTAGTTAGAATAAAATATCAGAAAAATTTAGGATGAACCCAAGATAGCTAAGTTACCGAAGCATTCAAATTTTAAGTCAAATGGTAGAAATTATTCTGAATGGAAAGCAGTGGCAGTGGCATAGTTGAATGCAATTTTCACCTTATCAAGTAGAATATGATAAGAAGTAATCATTCACAACAACTATAACTCTTACAAAGTGGAGAACCAGAGGCAAAGGATGCTCGAGTGGAAGCCAAATTCGGTTGAGGAAAGCGAGCAGTGGCAGGGTATTTTGGTGGAGCGAAAACACAAACATCTGCAAGACAGTTCAATTGAGTGTTAGAAATGGTACAGAATACAGTGTCTGCGTAGAAGAAAGAGAGAAGGGTTACCACGAAAAGAGAGAGAAAGAGAAGCCGAGGGTTGAACAAGTGCCATGGTGAATGAAACTATCTCCACTGTGCGGTGACAACAACCTTGGAATCCTCTGTTGTTTATCTCTTGCTTTTGAGGGACACCGTGTCAGTGGCTCATACTTGTTCCACGATGACTATTCATATTTCTGATTCCTTAACACACACGTGGCTTCTTTAGTGTTGGATAAAGTTCAAATATTTTCAATGTGATTTACTATCTTAAAAAATGGATTTTTTTTTTTATCTATAAAGGGATAAAATATAGTTAGTATCAATTATTCTTAGTATTAATATCACTGTAAGTTTATTTTATCATTAGATCGATTTCATTGATCTAAAGTTATATTTATTTTATTTTTGTATAGTTATGAATCTATGATCTCCCATTTTAATATTAAATATAAAAAATCATAACCATACAAAATTGAAAATAAATATAAAGTATTAAATATAAGAAAAAAAAGAAGATTTTTAGAAAGTTAAATAAGAATCGTTGGATCAACATAATCGATTTAACGATGAAATAAACTGGTAGTGATATTAATAAAAATACTAATTGAGAGTAACAATATTTTATCTCATTTATAAATAGGAATATATCAGTTTTACCAAAAAAAATATTAAAAAAATACTCTTTCATCATATGATTCAATTTTTTATTAATTTTTAATCATTTCAAGCTTCGGCTCACAGTCACAGGGATATACAAATCTATTATTTCCTATTTGAAAGAATATCTTGTGCTTCATTTATTATTTATCAAGGTAAAATGAATAGTTTATACAAATTTTAAACACATTTAAATTGAATAAAAAAAATCACATATTTAATAAGTGATTACAAATATTTTTAGTAAGTAATTTTAAAATAAATCACATAGCAGATATTTAAATTTCACTCTAAATCTTTTGGTTCCTTCGTTATGATTAGGCCTTTTTTTTTAGTACATTAGGCCTTTTTCAAAGTAAATATAACTTTTACTCATTTTATATTTACTTAAACGATTTTATAAGAGTTATGTTATAGGAAAAGTGATTGTGTAATGCTATAGAGATTCGTTTTACGTGTCTTAATTTTTTATTTTTTATTTTTGCTTTAAGAAGTGCCGGCCCTATAAAATGTTGTGTGTGTAAGAAATTTTTTTGTGTCATATGACATAATAGATGTAAATCCTTTACTTAAAAGGCTATACAAATCTTCAATCCAGTGTTATTTTGTTCTACAGTGCTATCGGATTATGCCTACGGACCTGATTCTCTTGTTTAATTTAGATCTCAATGAAACATATCAGTGCATAGATATAGATCCTGGCTAGTTAGAATTTTTTTCCTATCTGTTTTAGTGGTTTTTTCTGTCTTTCTTGGGGCTTAGCGTTATAAAAAAAAAGGCTATACAAATTTCTTTAAAACGGAAAATTTATTATTTTTTTCTTTAGTGCAAATTATAATTAGAAACTTACAACATTTAAAATGTGAACAAGTTTATTTTATATTTTATTATTAATATATTTTTTTCTGTATAATATTAAGACAAGAAAGAATAACACTTACTTTTTTAATTTTCTATTATTAAACGAAGTTCTATACTAAAAGTAGGTTTAAAAAAACGTTATATTTATCTTATTCAGCATAACATAATCCATCTTTCTACACACATAATAAAGATGAATTCCACCTTTGTTTTTTTTTTCTTCAATTATTTATAGGTCTTTCTTATAATTTTATTTTACTAATATAAAATAATTATCTTCAACAAAATAAGAGAAAAATTTCAGTTAAAAAAAATGTGTGGTGTAAACTTTTTTGTTGTTATCGAAATGTTGCTAATTAACTCATCATTGTGGTAACATTTGGTTTACTTTAGAGGCACATAGAATAGAACACGACAAAAACAGAGTTCTTCGATGAAAATTAAGAAACAAAATTGGACATGAATTCTTAATTGTATTAATGAAACGACATTATTAACCCAGTTGACATTTTGGCAAGAAGAACACCTCAGTGGTGCGAATGGCTTCCTTTTCAATTGGGACACACTTGTCCATGTTCCAACATTTGAGGAATTCTAGACTTTCACTTCATGGCCTTTGCACCGTTGAATCTTCTCCGTCATCTCGACCCTTCTTTGGTTCGTCTTCTTGTAGAATCAGATTCAGAGGTACCACTCCCACTTTCCTTCGTAATAATGTATTGGCACGCGCTGAAGATAAGGCCAGAGGTCCTTCTTCTTCGTTTCAGCCTCAACAAAGCTCCCAGCAAGAGTCCCAGGTTCTTCTTCTGTATAACCATTAACTGAGTTCTTCGAATACCCATTTTATCGCTCTGCTAGTTTTTGAATTTGGATATTTGATGTTTGTTTGCGCAATCTGGGTCAAGGGTACCTCAGGAATCCATAAAAGATCCAATATTTGGGGAAATTTGATTGAATTCAAATGGTTTTTATTTGAAATTAGCTTCTTCCGTTTCACGGGTTTTATTGTGTAGGCAACTTTACTTTGCCACTGTTATGTTTAATGGATTGACCTTTTTTTTCCAAAAGTGAAAAATTGGTGGTGGAGTGAGCTATAGTTAGAATGTAAGATCAAATGGTTAATTTTGGTGATTCAGTCAGTTAATGCATATGCTAATGCTCATACTGTACATCACTTTGAAAATGCTATCAGAACTTGACATCAGAATCTGGTAATTGTGATCCCCTATGTTCACTTGATGAGACAAGCTCACAAGATTTTGAAGACAACTATCAGCCCAAGACCGATTTGCTTAAAGCTGTTGCAATTATTGCTGCAGCTGCAACTGGGGCAGTGGCAATTAACCATTCTTGGGTGGCTGCTAATCAGGTTCATCAATGTCCTCTTACCTTACCTGGTTTCACTTCTGTCTATTTCACAATAAATTACTTGCATTTGTGTAAACGTCTCTAAATATGCTCTATTCTAATGGCTATTAGTTTTATATGACATTGCACTGTAGGATCTTGCTATGGCATTGCTATTTGTCATAGGATATGCAGGCATTATATTTGAAGAATCTCTAGCCTTCAATAAAAGTGGAGTGGGACTGTTGATGGCTGTAAGCTTATGGGTGATACGGAGTATTGGGGTAAACGTCTACCTTTTTGTGTTTTGACTTTTGAGATTATCAGTTAATTCTTGATTAGTTAGAACTTTATGTGTACATTGTAATGCTTTTGAGATTTAGGCTGCTGTTTGTCTGACTATGCAGAGGACACGGTACACAGTCACATACACTTGATGCATCTGTTCCCATATGTATATCTGTTAATTACAAGTGAAAAAAGACACTCAAGTATCCAGTGCCATATATTCATATACATACTGGCACTTCTCGTTTTTTTCTTTCTTGGGGCTTGTTTATTTCGTCATCTTTGCAAAAGATAAGGAGGCACTAAGAAGGATTAGAATAAGGACAACATCTATGTATCTGGTACCATTGTATTCAAATTTATGACCTTCCCATGTCCCTAGCCTTGTAATTGTAGCATGATTTAAAGTGTGAACCAACATTAACTATAACGATTTTGTATTTCTGATATTGGGTTTGTTTTCAAATCTGTTACAGAACTTGTGGTCAAAGATATGCTTTTGAACTTAAATGGCTTTTCTTATTCATCCAGTATAAACTCAATGCAAAAATTAGGAGTTTCTTTTTTTCCTCTCTTTCGGAATATTCTATTTAAAAAGATAAAGGTTAGGATAAGGTAAGGGTTTGTAATTGGACAAACTCCCTTCCCCCTAAACATTTTTTTAATACTTATACCAAAAAAGGAAAGAGGATGAGTCTGGAGCAGTGATATAGTTGTTCCTTTGTAATTGAAAAGTCACAAGTTGGAACCAGGGAAATAGCCTCTTTGGAATTATACAAGGGTAAGACTTTCTATAAGGTTGTCCTCACCCGACACTCGCTAGTTGGGGTTTAATGAGGAGTGGTAAATATACCAAAAAAAGGCCTTTTCTTGATTATCCAAATACTATTGTCTGCTATTGAAACAGATCAACTTTCTTTGGCCGAGCCATACACAAATATCTGGAAAAAAAAATTTACTTCTATTTGCTTTTGTTTTTTATGGATTGTTTGTAGGCTCCATCAACTGATATAGCTGTTTCAGAGCTAAGACATGCATCTGCGGAAGTCAGTGAAATAGTGTTTTTCTTGCTTGGCGCAATGACCATTGTTGAGATAGTTGACGCTCATCAAGGATTTAAGCTGGTTACTGACAATATAACCACCCGAAAGCCGCGCCTTCTCCTCTGGGTGGTAAGTGCTTTCACTGCTTTGTCCCTGCATTGTTGACCAAACTAAAAGGGCTTCCTAGCAGATTCTTTGCAAATTGAGACTTATTGGAAATTTGACTCCATTAGTTGTTGAACATTACAGTTTATGGTCAAATTTGTATGACACGCAACAAAAGGGGCTCAGGTTCAAGAGCTCCTTCTTAAAAAGAGGTGTTTAGGCTGTGCATCAATGACAGCAAACTTTTCATTGTTTGATACTTCGAAATGTCAATATTTTAAGAGAATAAAATAAACAAAAGAGTGGACGAGACCAAAATTTTCTTCCCCCTCCCCTAAATTCCCAAATTCTCTTCTGTAGTTTGCATCATCAATATTTGTCTCGATAATGGAAGTTGACAAAGTATTGTTGACTTTGCAGATTGGATTTGTTACATTTTTTCTCAGTTCAGTTCTAGATAACCTGACATCTACTATAGTCATGGTTTCTCTGTTGCGGAAATTAGTACCTCCATCGGAGTATCGAAAGTATGTGTATCTGTTATGTTTAACTTTCATTGTAATGTTTTCCCCATGTGTTGAAGTATTAAGTGTGGCCATATTTTTTAAACAATACAATAATGATTGACTGAGGATATTCATGCATCATCTTAGGTTTCAGTCATTACACCCCTGAAGCTAGATATCACTGCTCCTCACCTGGAGCAATTTTATATTGCACATTTGCATTGGTTATGCTGGCTTTTTTCATTCTCTTTAGAAATCTGAATGCTCATTTGAGGGATATTGAGAAATTCTCCTCCAAAAATGTCTGAATCTTCTTAAGTTTGCTGTTTCCAGTATTCTCCAACTATTCTGTGGTTTGGCTACACCTCATAAAATCCTCAAGAAGTTGATTTGGATTCTGTTTACAGGATTCTTGGAGGTGTTGTTGTGATAGCAGCAAATTCTGGTGGTGCATGGACTCCTATTGGTGATGTTACCACTACTATGCTGTGGATACATGGCCAGATATCTACCGTGCAAACAATGAAGGTTATCTCTTGGAAAATTATTCTTATGTGATACGTATGTTTGGACCATGGGAAAATTTTGGCAGAAATTATGTAAATTATAGTGGTATAATGAATTTAGCGCTAGTGAAATCCTAAAATGTTCTTTGGATATAGTGATTAGAAATATACAATTTGTAGCCCTAAATTAAGATTTCCTTGGTCAAAGTCTTTCCATTACTGATTTTTGATTGCACAAACACTCGGATTTAACTCAGTGCAACCAGAATAAACAAGTATCCATAATTGCATTTCCTTTGCCTTACAGGGTTTGTTTGTACCTTCAGCCATTTCTCTAGCTGTACCACTGGCTCTAATGTCCCTGACTAGGTACTCTTCTTACACTGCAAAAGTCAGCCAGGAAGGCTGATTTAAATAGTGCAATTTAGCTTAACATATTACAATTTAGATGATGTTGGTTTTTCTTCTGTTCAGTGAAGTTAATGGGAAGGGACAGGATTCTCTCGGTGTCTTGGCATCTGAACAGATGGCTCCCCGAGGACAGCTTGTTTTCTCAGTGGGTTTAGGAGCTTTGATTTTTGTCCCAGTGTTCAAGGCCCTCACAGGTTTGCCTCCGTACATGGGGATGCTGCTTGGACTTGGCGTGCTTTGGATCCTAACTGATGCCATCCATTTTGGTGAATCTGAAAGGCAGAAGCTAAAAGTGCCACAGGCTCTGTCACGGATAGACACCCAAGGAGCACTATTTTTCCTGGGAATTCTATTATCCGTTAGCAGGTAATGCAGGAATATATTTTAATTTTTCTACTGAGGTATATTTTCATCAATATAACTATATGAGTCAATAATATAATACATCACGAAACATGTCATTCTTCCTTTGAGTAAGACGGCACGTGTTGTTATGATAATGACTTATTTTGGTTAGATGCCCACAAAGTCTAGTCATTCTGGAAGGATGATATATTACCTGATTTGCCTCTTCCTATTATGAGATGGATATGCCCCTTCCTGTTAATTCCTGTCATTTTGAATTATCATTACTGTCAGAATATCTGCTAAATAATCTTAGTGTAAAGAACCAATTCAACCCAAAAGCTTAAGCTGTTGGGTGAGACTACATTAATGGTTTTATATATCTCAACACGCCCCCTCACACTAGAGCCCACTGGACTTGAAGGGTGGACAATGCACAGGCCCACCTACTTGTACGAAGAAAGAAATTCCACTAGAAAGAAAGTGAGGGGCGGTGAGGATCGAACCCGGTATACCGAGGCTCTGATACCATGTAAAGAACTAATTCAACCCAAAAACTTAAGCTGTTGAGTGAGACTACATTAATGGTTTTATATATCTTAATACTTAGCATTCTTTTGCATGAATTATGATTGCAGGTTCTTCCTGACAAGTGACATAACATTAAATTTCGTAACTACTTGTGTTAACTAGTTGTATTTGATCAATTTTAACGGTCATGTTCTGCAGCCTGGAGGCAGCAGGGATTCTTCGGGAGATAGCAAATTACCTTGATGTGCATGTCCCGAGTAGTGAACTTATTGCAAGTGCTATTGGAGTCATATCTGCAGTGATAGACAATGTTCCCTTGGTTGCTGCAACCATGGGAATGTATGATGTCACTTCTTTCCCTCAAGATTCTGAGTTCTGGCAATTGGTTGCATTTTGTGCTGGTACTGGTGGATCCATGTTAGTTATTGGCTCAGCTGCTGGAGTTGCGTTCATGGGGATGGAAAAGGTGGACTTCTTTTGGTACTTACGAAAGGTATTTCCTATTTTACACTTACACATACTGATCTGATGAAATGTTTTTTTTCTTATTTCATGATAGAAGCCGTTTATCTCCTTTGTGCAGGTTAGTGGCTTTGCTTTTGCAGGTTATGCTGCTGGCATTGCTGCCTATTTAGCGTTTCACAACCTCAACATCTCCCTACCAACAACTCTAGCAGAGGTTCCTTTCCTTTCTGGTTCATAAATCGAGAATTCAGATTTCATTTGGTTCAATTGCCATGGCATCAAAACCAGCATAGTTTCAGAACTATGTATACAAGTCCACTCGTAGTGGAAGTTGTCAAAGGTTAAGATGTTGGTTCACGAGAGGATATAGAGGTAGGATCAATATGTGTTACATACATTATTAGGTGTTGATTTCACTTGTATCTTGTGATTCTAATTTATTAGTCATGTGAACTCTTACATGTAAGCGAAATCAATGACGAATATTGAATGTAAGACTTGTCAAATTTATTTAAGTATAAATTGATCCTCTCCAATAAATATTTCCTTTCTGGTTCATAAATCGAGAATTCAGACTTTATTGGGTTCATAAATCCAGCATAGCTTCGAAATTATGTATTCAAGTCAAGTCGTAGTGGAAGTTGTCGAAGGTTAAATTTTGGTAAACAAGAGGTTATATATATCGCCTAGAGTCGGAGTTCAACATGTTAAACGTAACTCGGTAAGTTCTATGGAATTTTGAACAAGTTTTTATTCTCGTTATTTTTCAAATAAAAAGGTGGATTGAACAAGCAATAACTCACTAAATCACACTATCAATTGCAGGCTAAAATTATTATTTTCCTTGTCCCCTAAAACTACCGCTACATTCATTTGATGATGATACATCAAAACTGGGGACCATCAGGCAATCATGCCCATTCCAGATTTGCAAAATTAAAGATGCCAAAGTAGAAACAACCATGTCATCTTACAACTTCAGGAAAACTAACTCTTCAACAGCGGGAATTTCACCAATCTTCTTCAAAGTTTCTTTGCTAGGTGGATCATCCACTCCAATTGCCATTACAGCTTGCTTGCGTGGAGCAATCCTTCCAACACTCATGAAGCTGACATTCACATTCTCCTGACCCAAAATGCTCCCAACCTTTCCGATCATACCTGGCTGATCTACCTGCCTACAGAGTATAATGCTACCTTCCAAACTCACATCAACTTCAAAAGATCCAACCTTTGTCAGATGGGGGATCCCATCTTTCACCCGACCCTCAACCCCAATCTCCCCAGACTCAGATATTGCGCTAGCAAATCGGGATTCCACATTAGCAATCTGGACCTGGATGAATTCAAGTGGATTCTCAGGCGAACCATCAAGAATAACTCTCTCCTCGGTTATCCTGAGCCCTCTTTGTTTAGCAGTGAAATCAGCATTAACCAAATTCACGAAAACACTGGATATGGGTTCAATCAGACCCTTGATTATCATGGCACGAAGAAGACGAGTGTCAAGATCATCAGGGGCCCTAGCGGAAGCATAAGTCACTTTCACTGTTTTTACCCCGCTTCCTCCCGCCACCAGCTGGACAGCCAGCCTGCCCAGTTTCTCAGCAAGATCGACAAATGGTTTCAACTCTGTTAACACCTGCAGTCACGAAGGAAAGAAATAGATGTTAAACTTAGCCCCTTGACATCACCAGTTTGTAAAACTAGCTTAAATCCATGAATCACGTTATATTAAGATAAGCTCAAGATGTTTACACTTAAAGTGGAACACTAAATAAACTTCAGAATTTCAAATTCGAAGAGATATGGTCAAGCAATAACACTAATAGGCAAGTTACTTCTATTCCCAATTTCTCCCATACGAAACTCTGGACATTACATTAAGTGTTTAATTTGAACCATTTAAGCAAATAATAGTTAAAAACTAATAATTTAGGAACATAGGTACCATTTTCCAAATATATTTTTCAATATTTGAGCCTAGTTATACATTAAGTTAAAGAATTCACAACAATGATTTTCTTAAGCCAAACAGCTGTATCACGAAGTTAGTTATTCATCATGAAAAAGGATATGGAATATGTTTAAAGGAGAGGGAGGAATGGCAATATCATGAAAAGAATAGTGAGAGTTGAATTTTTTCTACTACCTCTGAGGGAACCATTGGTGCATTGACAGCAGTAGCAGCAAGCTCCCCTTTTAATGCCCCAACAACAGCTTCTGCTATTTCAATAGCCACACCTTCCTGGTCATTATTTTCAAAGGATAAGAAACAATATAGTTACAAGGGATTAAAAGGTAATGCTTATAATCATAACCAATTGCTTTAAGTAACTTGCCTGGGCTTCCGTGGTACTGGCACCAAGATGAGGTGTGGCAGTAACTTGCTCATGCAGAACCAACTTGTTGTCTTTTGGGGGTGGCTCCACTGTGAAAACATCAAGAGCCGCCTGAAAAAAAGAGAAACAATGCAATCATTATTTCTTTGGTAGGAAGAGACCCAACAATTTTCTTTCCTCTAAGGTGAATTATCAGTGCTTCCAAACACGAGATGATAAGAACCTGAGCCACAATTCCAGAATCCAGTGCCCTAACAAGTGCATCCTCATCAATGACCCCTCCACGAGCAACATTGACAATTCGCACACCTTTCTTCATCTTCGCAAATGTCTCATCATTGAGAACCTTCGATGTAGCAGGCGTAAGAGGCATGTGCAAAGAGATGAAATCCGCAGTTGAAATGGCCTCATCAAAGCTCACAAGCTCAACACCAATAGCACGAGCGCGATCTGCCGGAGCATATGGATCATGTGCAATTACGTTCATACCAAGCCCCTTGGCACGACGAGCAACTTCAGAACCAACCTTCCCAAATCCGAGGACAGCGAGCGTCTTACCAACCAGGGAAACTCCAACATACTTATTTCTCAGCCATTTCCCTGGATTAACCAGGATATTGGTAAATCAAACAGCACGAACTCTATAAACCAGAGTAATTAAAAACAGAACCCACAACATGAATACGCATAAAACATGACAGAATCAAAAGAACAAACCATAGCCTTATCCCGTATAAACAAATTAGATCTCAGCATAAGTACGAAAAAAATCAATCAGTGTATATATTTCCTCCTTTCAGCAGGAAATATTGAATTTCAGATTTGGTTCCACAAAAAGAAGATTCTAAAAGTGAAACCAAACAAAAGGACTTAAAAAGCATTTGAATAGTAAAATAAAATAAAAAGCACACGAAATTCTTCATAGAAAGCATAGTATAATAACAGGATCTAAATGATCTCTACCAAACAAGGTGCTCGATAAAGTGCTCCTGAGAAGAGTCACATCTCACAAACAACAAAAACGAACTCAGCATTTAATCAACTCACCAGCTTTGATGGACGCATCAGCTTGAGCAACGTTCCGAGCCATGGCGGCCAAGAGCGCAATCCCGTGCTCGGCAGCGGCGACGGTGTTGGCGGTGGGCGCATTGACGACCAAGCAACCAAACTCAGTGGCGGCAGCCAGATCCACATTATCAATTCCGACGCCGGCTCTACCAACGACCTTGAGCCTCCCGCCGGAGGACTCAAAGACCTCGCGAGTGACCTTGGTGCCGCTACGCACGATGAGCGCGTCGCAGAGCGAGATCTTGGTGCAGAGCTCCTCGGAGGTGAGATTATAGGAGCAATCCACGTTGGCGAAGTCCTTAAGCAGCGTGAGGCCTGCATCGCCGAGCTTCTCGGCGACGAGGACGGTGGGCTTGGCGTCAAGACCGGCGGAGACAAGCACCACGAGAGAGCGGGCGCCACGGCAGCGGGGACGGACGGAGACGGAGAAGGCGGAGGAGAGAGAAGACTTAGAGGAGAGAGAAAGAGAAGGAGAAGGAGAAGGAGAAGGTATTGTAAGGAATTGGGAAGTTGCGGTGGCCATGATCAATGTTTCAGGCAAGTTGGTATGAATGAAGTGTTAAGTTAAAGACACACTTAGAGAGTGGGTTTTTATAATATGATAGATAGGGTTTATGAATATATATATATATATATATGAATGACTCATGAGAGAGGTTTCTTTTAACTGTGCGCAGCCTCAGGCTCAGACCTCGGGGTTGGTAGGAAGGTATTTGCACGCGCTCTTAGTTGGATGTAGTAGTCAACCACAGTCGCACAATTGGGCAAAACCTGCAGTTCCAGTGTTTCTAAGCATTCACTATTTTTATTGGTCTTAAACCGGAACGTTGAAACCCGTTTTTTCTTTATTATCTATGCTTACTTATATTTACTTGTTTTTAAACATAGATTTAATTTTGATCTAAATCTTGTGTACAATATCGTTCGCCACACTTTTCAAACATTTTTGTGTGAAAATAAATATTTAATAATTCATAATTAGTATTTATGATGTAAGGGCTTACATCAAATGTTAATTATAGTTAAAGGGAAAATATCTTCTCTACATAGGATATATCCAAATGGGTATATTTTTTTCCAAAAAGAGAAAATTTTATTCCCCTTTAATTCATATTTTTTTAAGTATTTTTTTATTAAATTCCTAATTTTTGTTTTTATTTTTTACAAATATTTGGTGTAAAAAAGCGCTCAGTTAAAGGGGATGTTTGGGTTTAACAAAAAAAGAAGAAGAAGAAAAATGATGATGTTTGGTGGGTAAGTGGGGAGATGTCACTTCAAGTTATTGCTGAATCTTAGCTATGTGCCGGCCTCTTGGTTTGGGCTGGCACACTCATAATAAACAATGAAAATTGACTTTCACCCAAAATTAGATTAACCGAGGTTTGGTAAAACCTCAACCAAAAATGTCTTTTTCCGGTGACTCTTATAAATAAAAGTGACTTTTAAAAACAAATCAAAACTTATCATTCTGGACGAATATAAATGATGTGGTTAAGTTTTACATACATTTCATGTACTCAAAAGGGTTTTATATTATTTTTATTATCTTTAATAATCAATTTGTTGTACTGAATTGTAATTTATAATAAGATTTTGTATTATTTTGTTTATTATTAGGGTTGAAAAGTTTAAATAAAATTGAGCAACTGGATACGAAATTTTCCTTGTCACATGTATTAGGAGGAGTATTAATAATACATTTTAATTATAATGTCACATGTGATATTATTAAATAAAAATTAAAAAATATTTTTCTTATGTTGTAGGAAAGTTGTTACCTCATGTTGTAGAAATAAAATTATAAGTGGGACCCACGGGTAAGAGGAGAGAGAAAAAAAGAGTGGTGGGACCCACTTCTCTTTTGTGTGTAGGAAAATTGTTTATCTCATGTAAAATGAGATAAATATAATCCATAAAGATATATACTAGTCTCATTAATAAAAAATAACTTTATTATTTAATAAAATTAACATAAAATTTCATCTAATGGTAAGTTGTTGTTGGGCATTCTCATGAGACTTGAGTTCAAATCCCAGCGGTTCCATCATTGAAAATATTTTAGTGCTCGGTAAAAATTTGGGGAAGATAAAAATAAAAATATAGATTCAAATGAAATATTGCCAAAAAAATAATTAAGGTTAGTATATAAAAATAAAAAATCCAAGGAAGGATTAAGTATTCATCCAAGACCGCTTGATGGGTCAATTTCGGGATCAACTGGTCGGTATTCCAGGAGTGCTTAGTAAAAATTGGGAAAAAAAAAGTGGGTTCCTTGTTTTGAGGTGAAACTCAAGGTATTTTTGTAATTATAATTTATTTTAGGGTTATAATAGTCTTTTTTATTATAATTTTTTAATTTTTTAACTCAAAATGACGTCGTTTTAACAACGAATGTAGATAACTTATCTCCATTCACTTTAGAAAAATTAAAGCCAATAAAAATATAGATTCAAATGAAATAAAAAATGTCGTATTTAAAAAAAAAAGTATCGAATATGGTATTACTGTAGTATAAAAAAAAATCAAATTAATTAAGGTTAAAGAGTTGAAAAAATATTCGAGACCGACTTGCCTAAAAAATAATTAAGGTTAGTATATAAAAATAAAAAATCCAAAGGAAGGATTAAGTATTCATCCATATGGGACCATTGAATTTTATTCATTTACTTTTATTATCTTTTATTTTTTATTTTTTCGGAATTATGGTTGGTATCTTGGTTATCATGTTTAAGGAAAAACTATAGGGAAGTTAATTGTGAGTTAGCTCACGGTGGGCTAGTGGCTCGGCCACTCTATAAGTACGAGGTATCAATTCAAAATAAAAAATATTATTTTTCAAAATAATAATAAAAATATTAAGCTCATGGTTTTAAAAATACTTATGGCTCATTTAGCGGATATGAATGGATAGGATAAGATTGTTGGATAAGAGTAGGATAAGATATAAGTTTGATAAGTTCATATCCTATATCATATGCTTGATGTGCATTAGATAAATAGTCTGACAAGATAATGTTATCATATCTGATATTTGAGGCAGACCATATAATATCCCTTTAATAGAATTTTATTTGATATTTTAAAATTGACTTTTAAACAATTTTTTTTACTTATTTATACATTATTTATTATTTTAAAATATTAAAAGTCATAACTTTAAATATATTAAAGGGATTAATATTTGTCATTTTAATCAAAACTATATTGTGTTTTATAGTGAGAGAAACAAAAATCATGAAAGGAAAAAATGAGAGATTTTTTTAATTTATAAATTAAATAAAAAATAGTAGTTTTAATTAAAATGATTGTCCTTTAAAAGAACAAACATTTTTTCCTATATTAAAATACAAAAAATAACTTTTAATTTTTTTTATAATATTAGAAATTATATTATCACCAATTTTTTTTTTAAAAAATAAGTTTTAAATTGATTGTTGGTGGCCGGTGGCTAGTGACAGTGGTGGCGCGCGGTAGAGGTAGCTGGTGCAGTGAGTCATCGATTATATTGGTGATGATATTAGTTGTGGGGGGAAATGACAATAGGTAATGGTGATAATGTCAATAATAATCAATGACAATTATGGTGATTCATTGACAGTGATGATGGTTGGTGCCTGGTGGTTGAAGGTGCTGGTGGCCAGTATTAATCGCAGTGATGGTGAGATGGTGGCAAGTGAGGGTGGTTGGTGAAAGTGGTGGTGGTGGCAACGACGATGCCGACGGGTGGGATTGCGGTGGCTCATTGATAGTAGTGGTAGTGGTAGCGGTGACGGCTGGTGCTTTGTGGTTAAGGATGGCGGCAGCTCGAGGTGATAGCTGGTTGGTGGTGGTTGCGGTGATAGCGATAATTATGATGGTGAGTGGAGGCAATTGTGGGGAGCTAATCGATAGTAGCCGGTGACAATGGCGGTGGGTGGTGGCAATAATGGATGGTAGAGGTGGTTGATGGCCGATAGCGGTGGTGGCTGGTCGGTGGCCCCTCATGTGCCCAGTAATGTTAGTAAGGGAAGAGCATAAGGCTATATCTGGAACGAGAGATATTTGACATTTGCTATCTTATCATATCATTTTCTAACTCGAGTTGAGTCCCCCTTAGAATAGGTTATCCTATTGGATACACCATAAAATGAGACAACATGATAAACTTATAATATCCTATTGGTTCACAAAATAATGGATAAAAGCATGATATAATAACATATCATATCCTATCCCACTTATCATGTTAGTAAACTTAATTTACACCTACCAATTAATTTCTATCATGTGCCCAGATATGTTATTTAAAAACTTTATTATTACACCTGCCACTTAAGTTATTTAAAAATAAATTAAGTTTTTATATTTTTCAAAATTAATTTTTGTATCTATATATTGAGGAAAATTATACTTACAACATATTTTCGTTTATAACCTCTTATAATTATATCTTAACTGTTAATCTTCGTCAATCAATGATTATTATTTTCGCAAATCAAACTCATTAATTAATTATTAATTTATAATAAATGATAATTGTTGATTGACGAAAATCAGCAAAACATGATTGTAAGAGATTGTAAACGTAAATAAGTTATAAGTGTATAACCTTCCTCCTATATATTATTTAATTTATTAAATATGTCATGAATTAAATTGGATTATGTCAATATATTTTATTAACTTATTTTTTTGTTAAATTAGAGTGATTTTCTTCAATTTTATCTAAAACTTTAGATTTTAAATTTGTTTCACAATCAATATACAATTGATGAAGTCTTAGCACGTTACTATAAAAAGCTAGATTTCATAAGTGATGACCCTAATAATTAAACTTCTTTGATAATTTAGTATAATATGATTGAATAAAAGCTAGTACAACATGATTACAAACAATAAGTTAAAATTAAATCAAAAATTTATCCCACCAATTGGAATATAATAGGCAAGAATCAAGATTGCTCACACACGCCCATTCAGCGCTTGAATACAAGAAGTCAAGAACCAATAAATTCTGGCTTTGGCTCTCATGCAGCATTACAAGGATCTTGTATCCATCTGCGGCGGTTTGCAGTGTTCTTTTCTAAGTTTGCAATACTAAGTGTGACCCATGTTCGTACGAAAATTACTTATAAAAATTATAAAATATGGGGCAAAAGTCACGAAGACTCTATTTGTTTTTCCACAACTTTTTGTTTTAATAAATACTTATAATTTTAGGGTTTAAAGTTTACACAAATACAAAAAAGGGTTTTATAATTTTCATTTAAAATGAGAATTTGAATTTTCCTACATACACTTTGATTTTCGTGCCAACGTGAGTCCTACACATAATTTTTTCTAATATACGGGTCCCACATACTTTTTGTCTCTACAACATGAGAATTGAATTCTCATGTTGAATGAGAAATATAAAACCCATACAAAAATGGGGGAAACAGGAAAAAAAAAATTAGTTTCCTGCATACACATCAAAATTTGTGTTGTTATGTTTTATTTTTTAATAAATAATGACAGGCTCCACTAATTTCTATATCTAGAGTATGACCTAACTAATTTTATGTAACATGACATATTTAAAACTTCATAAAAATTTATGGGACCTATTTGAAATCATGCGATAAAAAAAGAGAAAAAAAAAATTAACTTCCCATATTTTTATGTATATGTAAAAGATAATTTTATTTCTCATATCAAAAATTTTAAACTCGTATTTTTATGTTTTTTAAGCATAATTTTCACTTAAAATAATAAAATCCTTCTGTTTATATTGAAAAATAAATAAAGTCGAGGAATGTAATATAACGCCGTCCTCTTTGCGTGGAGTTATCGAATTATTATATCAAGAGAAATATTGTTAATTTTTTTTTATATTCTCTTTATTATTAAATAAAATTATATGATAAATAAAATTATATGATAAATAAAATTATCTTTATAATATTAAAAATTTATATTTTACAGCTCGATTAATAGTTTTAAATTCAATTTTAGTCATATAACGAATACTTAATATTAATAATATATATATATATATATATATATATTATCATTAACTATTTATTTCCATTTGATAAAAAATAAATAATAGTTAATAATTTGTATTGCTCCTTAAGACAATCTTATTACCGCACTCTCCATCTTTGTTGATGAACGTATGAATCATTAGTCAAGGGATTTAATTTTGATTAATAAGTCATTTACTATCATTTAAAGTTGAATTATAAAAATGAGTTTTTTAAAACTCAAATTCTTCTAATATCATCAAGGGAAAAATATTTCTCCTACAATATAAGATAAACTTATCTCATGTAATCTGATCAAAAATGATGTAAATTTGGAATTTTGAAAAAAAAAAGTATTTTAATAATTTTACTTTTCTTTTATATCATGTAATTTTATTAAAATATCTTTAATTTTTTTCTTAAATTCTCAAAATGATATATCTTGGAGTTGTATGAAATAAGTTTATCTCATATTACAGGAGAAACCTTAAAACATATGTTCAATAATGACATAAAAAAAAATCTAAAATAAAATTATCTTTAAATACAAGCTTGGTTTACCAAAATAAAATAAAAATAAAACTTTAAAGATAAATATAGTTATTTATTGAGGAAATTTACCGTTCACGCCCTTAGACATGCAAAATTCATTATGCCACTACCAGCCTAGTGACCCAAACATTCATTCGATTTCAGGTTATTCAACAGCAGCAAATGCCGTTGTGCACACCAGAGTTTCGATAAAAAGTCCAAACAAGCTCATATATGGCATGCAGTACAATCACAAAGAGAAAATAAGATCCTGTGGGGCTTTGCCCCACTTCTTTACCAAAAAAAAAAAGAGAAAATAAGATCAGAATTCAAACTTGAAAAAGTGGATTGAAATTGGGGACCATTCCTAAATAGTTCATACATCGAAATGGGTAAGATAGGCCTCAGCCAGCATGTGACCCAATTGAACTTGAGCCTCCGTGGTTAGGTGAAGATTATCTTCCTTCAATTGCAATCCCTTTGCGTCCACGCAAATCACCTTTGCAAGATCAATCCCTTTTTGTGCTTCTCTCACTTTCTCTATGTACTCAGACCCTGAGGTTATTGCAACCTACATAGCATACATACATGGTACGCAATCACATCATCATAGTTAAGTAAGTGCTAATATTTTGATGTTTGTTTTGTTCCGAAATAATAATAAATAAATAAAAAACCTAGTAATTTTCGAAACCTGAATTATTGGAAGAGATGGCAAATTGAGGTCTTGACGAACATTGTGGATGAGGTTCTCCATGTTGACCCTGTAAACCTCTGCGTCATGCTCACTCGACGTGTCACTCTCTCCTTGATACCATAGCAACGCTTTGATCTCGCTATTGTTGTCGCCCTTCACGCTGTCTTTGGCTCTCTTCACCATGTTTTCATACAATTCCTCTCCACGCGCCCATTCCTTTATGGCGGTGCCGCCCACGGCGCATGGGACTAGCCCCAACTCGCCAACCACGCGCTGCCGCACCGCGTTGGCAAAGGACATGCCGGGACCCACGCCGCAAACTTTCTTGGTGTCAATGTCGGCGTGGAGGGGCTCATGTGCTGGTTCCCACTGGAGGGAGGCGCTGAGGCGGAGGATGGAAGGGTTAGGGCAGCATTCCGGTGGAACGACGCCGTCCCAGTGCTGGTGGCGGTGATGGTTCTTGATAACACCGCCACGACCGGCCATGTTGCTTTGACCGGAGAGTATGAAGATCTGTTTTTTGGTTTTGGGAGGATTGTGGTTTGAATCTGTGTTGGTTTCCATGGCTTCCACTTCCTATGAACAGTGGCTTGTCTCTTCTAAGCTTGTGCCTCTTAATTTGTGGAATCTTAACCCAAAACGAAAGTGGCTATTATTAGACAAATGAGTGCAACAAATTCAAGGGAAAAAAAAAAAAACCATAGTTATTTTTTTTTTTTTCATTCAGCGGTTCCTTTCACTGAGAAATATTTCTATGGTCCATGCCAATAAAATTTATAAAATGCTCAATCTCACACGTGGAGAGTAAAAAAATAAAATAAAAGAAAAAACAGGAATAAAATGGTCAAAAAAAAATTTTGATTATGGGTGAGATCAGAGAAAAATTACATGGGTGGAGATAATGTAAAACTTTTCCCCTTTCACGAATACTTTATTTCTTAATAAATATAAGATTTGTTTTTTCTAAAGTTACTTTAGATAATTTTATCTAATGTTCATCAAAATAACGTCGTTTTGTTGCAAAAATTATGATGTTTTTGTAATTTTAATTTATTTCAGGGTTATGATAGCTTTTATCATTTTATTTTTTTAATTTTCAACCCAAAAATAACATCGTTTCGATGAACATTAGATAAAATTACCTAAAATCGTTAGATACTTTTCCCCCATAAACATATTACCGAGAGATGGCACTAAAAATCTTTTTCAGTCTTGCAACGTGAGCATCTTAAATAACCACCTTTTGTTGATCCCAATTTTGATGGGTTTTTTTTTTTTTTTTTTACCTCTATAGCCTTCAATTTATAAAAAAATTATTATTTCACTCTTTTATCAAAATATATGACTCATTAGTCTGTCTGACTGTTAATCCTATAAAATACTCGGGTACATGGGGGATATCCGAGTATCCTTAAAAAAAAAACACTACTCGAGCACGCGAGTGGTCTACCCGAGTTTTGTTTATATTATGGGAAAAAGTTTGAATTATTTATCCGGATATAGAGGGGGATACCTTCGTAGATTTCGCGGGTAGGATTTTCTTAAAACCCAGCAAGTCATTTTTTCCAAACTCATAAAAAGGATACCCGAGTAGAGTTGCGTAAAGGGCAAAATCAGTGGTTCCTTCACCACACTAGTTGGACAAGTTTCTTCCTCTATGATCATCCTTCATCCACCCTCATGGTATTTTTTTAGTTTGGAAACAAAGAAAGGTATTTTTTTAGTTTTCAATTTTTGATGAACCCTAACCCAAATTTTGATTTTCGTTTGTGGGTACCTTTCAAGTGCCCAAATTTAGTTTAATTGTTGATTACATTTTGCATTTTGCTAGTGCTTGGACTGTTTGCTAATTTAATTTATGATTCTTGAGAATGAATTAAATTTTTTGTGTCCACGAAGAGATGTTTGATATTTGGTTGTTAATTATATTTCGATTGGTATTAGTACATGTGCATTTGTGTTTTTTCAATTTGATATTGTAACAAAATGACTGGCATACGTCTTTCAAAGAAGAAAGGGGTGGGTACAAAGAGGAGAACCAAGCGCCGACATGACGGGTCCTCATCCTCTCAGCCAGAGGCTGCTGTTCATGAGGCTCTGTTACGGACACAACCTCAAGTAGCTCAGCCCCTGGCCCAACTCCTGATGCTAGCCACTCAGCAAGGCCCATTAGGAAGAAAGGAAGCCCAGCTTGGTTGAAAGATTACACTTGTAATTGAGTTAGTAAATGAAGCGGTCAGTGATAGGTTATTGTTCTGTTGTAATACACATGGGGTAGTTACAGGTTGACAGGTGGCAATAGGTGTTAGTTGGTTATAGGTATACGTGTAAATCAAAGGGGTACAAAAGGATACCAATTGTACATGCACAGGGGGATCTGAAAATAAAACTTGAATCCTTTTTCTTCTCAAAATCTATTGTTTTCTCTTTTCCTCTGATACATTCGTATCATCTGGTGCTTTCATCTTGAACACAGTCGTGACCATGAAAATTCAGGAAATGGCTGAAGATCTTCGTTCGGAATTTCAGCGGGAGATTCAAGCTACACGTTTGGATCTGAACCAGAAACTGGAATTGTTAACCGATTCGATGATGGCGATGGACGTTCGATTGAAGGATTTCATCACTCATTCTCAACAGCATTCGGTGTCGGCGGGTTCCAGTAATCACTCTCCGATGGGGAACAAGTGTTTTCATCATGAACCTCCTGATCAACGGGTTTTGAAATCGGTTAAGATGGAAATTCCATCTTTCAATGGGTCTGACCCCAATAATTGGGTTTTTCGCGCAGAACTTTATTTCAGTATGCAACAAATTCCTCCTCACCTGAAGGTTCAATTAGCAGGATTGAAAATGGATGGACAGGCTTCTCCTTGGTTTCAGTGGATGTTCAATACCGGGACCATTAACCAATGGGAGGATTTCAAGAAGGCTGTGTATCAACGTTTTGGTGTTTCGGCTTTTGTGGATTTGAAAGGTTCTCTTTCTAAGCTCTCTCAAACAGGTCCATTAATGGAATATGTCAAAGAATTTGAAGTATTGCTAAATCAAGTTCCTGGATTTACTGATGATGTTTTAATGAGTTTTTTTGTTTCTGGTTTACATTCTGAGTTAAGGGGAGCTATTCAGTTACAATGGCCCAAATCCCTGCATCATGCAATGCAATTAGCCTATGCTTTAGAAACTCACCATGAGCAATTACGATCTTCACTTGCTGCTCATCCGAAGAAACCACCACAAACCAATACACAAAACAGTATCCATAATTCTGTTCCCTACAAATCCAACTCTTCCTTTCATCACACAACCAAACCTTTTACACCTTCTTCCTCCAATTTACCAATAAAGAAACTTTCCCCTGAAGAAATTACACGGAAAAGAGAATTAGGTATATGTTATACTTGTGACGAAAAATGGACATCCAAGCATAGATGTAAATCCCAAATGCTTCTGCTGATTGGTGAGATGGAAGAAGACCAGCCAGATACGGAGGAAGAAATTCTTTGGTCACCTGAGTCCAAAGATACAACTTTAGCAGCCACGATGCATACACTATCAGGGTCCTTTAATCCTCGAGCTATAATTCTTAATACCTGGCTCTGTGGTCATAAGGAAAGCATATTGGTTGACTCGGGCAGTTCTCACAATTTTATAAATCGTGAGTTAGCTCAGAAGTTGGCTGTTCCAATGCTTCATTCCAGGGGGATGAAAGTGTTCATGGGCAATGGCGAATTTTTGTTCTGTGACAGGAAGTGCAGCAAGGTCAATTTAGTTATTCAGAACCATTCTTTCGTAGTTGATCTTTGGGTGCTGGATTTACAAGACTTGAGTATTATTTTGGGTATGTCTTGGTTGGAAAGTTTAGGGCAAGTGACCCATGATTATGTGGAGCAATCCATGGAGTTTGTGAAGGATGGTCAAAGAATCAAGTTGCAAGGTGCTGTTGATTCCAATGATTTGTCCAGTACCAAACAATCTGCGCGAGGCTCTTGCTGTGTAATGTCTACAGTGTTTTCTGTTGACAATGAGCAGTCAATTTTGCCAGAATTGAAGGCTCTCAAGGACACTCTTCCTTCTGATTTATGGGAGGTTCTATACAAGTATATGACTGTATTTCAAATTCCTCAGTCATTACCTCCTTTTCGGGGCATGGATCATTCAATTCAATTGATGGAAGGAGCAAAACCTGTGAATGTTAGGCCTTATCGTTTTCCTCATCATCAGAAATCTGAGTTGGAGAAACAGGTATCTGACCTGCTTTCTGCTGGCTTCATCCAACCGAGCAAGAGTTCTTTTTCTTCCCCTGTCTTGTTGGTTAAGAAATCAGATGGCTCTTGGCGCATGTGCATAGATTACAGGGCTTTAAATGCCATAACAGTTCCGGACAGGTTTCCTATACCCACTATAGATGAGTTGTTGGATGAATTACTTAGTGCTACAATTTTTAGCAAGCTGGACCTTCGAGCTGGCTACCACCAAATCCGTATGCTCCCTCAAGATATTTCCAAGACTGCTTTTAGAACTCATGAAGGACATTATGAGTTCCTTGTCATGCCATTTGGGTTGACAAATGCTCCTGCCACATTCCAGGCAGCCATGAACCAAATTTTTCGCCCTTATTTGAGAAGATTTGTCATTGTTTTTTTTTATGACATTCTCATCTATAGCCATTCTATGTGTGATCATTTAGAACTGACCTTTCAATGTTTGTTGCAGCATAATTTTTATGTAAAAATGAGCAAGTGTGCCTTTGGTGTTGCTGAGATTTCTTACTTAGGCCACATTGTATGTGCTGATGGAGTGAAAGCAGATCCAAAAAAAGTGGCAGCCATGGTGGATTGGCCTCAACCCACATCAATCAAACAGCTGCGTGGTTTTTTAGGTCTTACTAGTTACTATAGAAAATTTGTACAGCACTATGCTGATATTGCTTCTCCCCTAACTGAGATGTTGAAGGCTGATAAGTTGAATTGGACACCTGCGGCAGTTGCATCTTTTGGCAAGTTGAAGGCTGCTATGAGTTCTACACCAGTCTTGGGGCTGCCAGATTTCTCCTCTCCTTTCATTGTCGAAACTGATGCATCTACAGTGGGCATTGGGGCTGTTTTGATTCAGCATTCTCGACCAATATCCTTCTTTAGCAAAAAGCTTGGGTTTCGTTTATCCAAAGCTTCTACTTATGTTCGAGAGTTGTATGCAATCACTGAGGCGGTTAAGAAATGGAGACATTATCTCCTTGGAGCACATTTCATAGTGAGAACTGATCACCAAAGCATCCGGGAATTGTTATCACAAACCATCCAGACCCCAGAACAACATAGGTATGTTCATAAGCTCTTGGGGTATTCCTTTACAATTGAATACAAACCTGGATCTTCAAACATTGTTGCTGATGCACTTTCACGACAATTTGAGTGCACTGAGCTTGGGTTTTCTCTCTCCCTGCTATCTGAACCACAATTTGGTATTGTTGATAGAATTAAAACTGAAAATTCTTCCGATCCCGAATTACTTGCCCTCCGCCAGAAACTAGCTACTGGTGTCTTGGTTGATCCTTTACTTGTGGCAAAAGAAGGTGTCCTTTATCACAAGGGCAGATTCT